GCGAGGAGATGAGGAGGGCGGGAGTTGGGGCGGCGGGGGGGGGGGGGGGGGGGGGGGGGCAGGAAGGCTAGAACTGGCACATCTGAGGGCACACAAAGGTGTGAATGGGCCCCAATACTGAGACTGACCTACTGTCCCTCAATGTCACAGGGTCTGAAAAACGTGACCCGGAAGTGGACAAATACTGGAGGTCACAAGCCACAGGAGACCCTCAGACCTCATCAGTTGGGTCACCACACCAACAAGATAAAAATTCTGATTGGTTGTCATTGGACAGTCAGTGTACACCATTGGTCCAAACCTATGCTACACAGACCAATCACCACCATCTGCTGCTTGTCTGGGTATTTATTGGCCCTCGTGGTGACCTCTTATGTAAGGCTACAAGATGGACTACAATGGTCAGACTGTACAGGGCCGGGCCATGCAGAAGAGGCAGTCGCCTTGTGCCCCGTACCAGTAGGGCGGCGCTGATAGTTCAAGGTTCAGGTAGGAGAAGGGGAACCCTGGGTGGTCCATGACTGACAAGGTTCTCAGACACACAGGAAAGGCCTATGTACACCCCCCAATGCTGAACACAAGGGAAGTGAGCCTTGGGGAGCCCATGGACTGCGTCAGATTGCTGGCTGGTCAGCAGCAGTGCCTGCGGGTGGATGCGGTGGAGACAGATGACCACATTGCTGACCCTCCTCAGCAGATCAATAACGGTGATAACTGATCATTCAGGACCTGGGGTATAGAAGTGACCGTCTCTCGGTGGATCTCTTTGGCTGGCGGGCGGCGCTGTGTGAACGCGGACATCTCAGTGAAACGTGTGAAGAGTTAGTGCACAAATACAGCATAAAACACAATAAACAGAAAATCATTTTATCTCCAAGCAGCTATAAATTATTCACTACAAAAACATACACATGTCACATATTATAAACTGTGCCCGCTCCGGGGGAGGGCGGGGGGCTCGTTAAAGACTTTGTCGTACTTTGATAGAGTTTTTGTAGCTACAGTCTGCCAACCCCGAGTGACTGGCATAATGGGCGCTCCCCCAACCCCGAGTGACTGGCATAATGGGCGCTCCCCCAACCCCGAGTGACTGGCATAATGGGTGCTCCTCCAACCCCGAGTGACTGGCATAATGGGCGCTCCTCCACTCCCGAGTGACTGGCATAATGGGTGCTCCCCCAACCCCGAGTGACTGGCATAATGGGCGCTCCCCCAACCCCGAGTGACTGGCATAATGGGTGCTCCCCCAACCCCGAGTGACTGGCATAATGGGCGCTCCTCCAACCCCGAGTGACTGGCATAATGGGTGCTCCCCCAACCCCGAGTGACTGGCATAATGGGTGCTCCTCCAACCCCGAGTGACTGGCATAATGGGCGCTCCCCCAACCCCGAGTGACTGGCATAATGGGTGCTCCTCCAACCCCGAGTGACTGGCATAATGGGCGCTCCCCCACCCCCGAGTGACTGGCATAATGGGTGCTCCCCCAACCCCGAGTGACTGGCATAATGGGTGCTCCCCCAACCCCGAGTGACTGGCATAATGGGCGCTCCCCCAACCCCGAGTGACTGGCATAATGGGCGCTCCCCCAACCCCGAGTGACTGGCATAATGGGTGCTCCCCCAACCCCGAGTGACTGGCATAATGGGTGCTCCTCCAAACCCGAGTGACTGGCATAATGGGCGCTCCCCCAACCCCGAGTGACTGGCATAATGGGTGCTCCCCCAACCCCGAGTGACTGGCATAATGGGTGCTCCTCCAACCCCGAGTGACTGGCATAATGGGCGCTCCTCCACTCCCGAGTGACTGGCATAATGGGCGCTCCCCCAACCCCGAGTGACTGGCATAATGGGTGCTCCTCCAACCCCGAGTGACTGGCATAATGGGTGCTCCTCCAAACCCGAGTGACTGGCATAATGGGCGCTCCCCCAACCCCGAGTGACTGGCATAATGGGTGCTCCCCCAACCCCGAGTGACTGGCATAATGGGTGCTCCCCCAACCCCGAGTGACTGGCATAATGGGCGCTCCTCCAAATCGGGCACTGGACGCCTACAGAGCTAAGACTCTCCTATACTATCAAACATGACATCATCAGCTTTCACTACATTGGCGCAGGCTGATCAGGTGACATCATTATTTTTTCCAGCTTTTCATATTTTGGTTCTGAGTGATCACATGACATCTACAAAGTGCTAGTCTTCCCAGCACTGACAGAGTAATCACATGACAATATCACACCGACAGCTTTCACTATACTGTGACATCACAGGAGTGACATCATCATTCTGACAACTTTCCCCACACTGGTTATATCTGATCACATGTCACCGTGTCACGCTCTCTCTAGCCGTCCAGGAAAGTCAGATTTCGGGGGATTCACTTTGGCGACACCGTTTGCGTCTTACCGGGAGGGCGAGGAGGAATATCCTGGATCATCCTTTAATGCCAACTTCAAGGACCCATCCGATGTTGGTCCTCTGATCTCCAGTTCTAACAGGACCCAGTCCGGTAATTCCCCCGATCCGGTGCTGTGAAGCCGTGCTGAAATGGGCTCATCAAAGTAGATGGACTGTGGAAAGAGACAACAATCAGACAGAGGCACAGTGCCGGCACAACCTACCCTGATCACCTCTCATCTGTCTACAACTGAAAGAATTACCCATAGTGCCTCACTTTCCAGAGATCTGATTGGCTGCCATGGGTAAAGCTGGCCACATATAGGAGCTGTGCCAATAGACGGGTGTCATGCTATGCACTCAAGTTAAACCAATGAAACTGCTTTCCTGACACATCCGTATGTCATCAGATCATACATGATTCTTTCTGCACCCCCTAACCGAGAGCTAAGTGGGGGCTGTCATAGGAGAAATGTGGCATCCCCCCCAAACCTATCTAAGAATAAATTACCATGTATGTGAGCAGAGGTCTCAGAGTGACATACCATGTATGTGGGCAGAGGTCTCAGGATGACATACCATGTACGTGGGTAGAGGTCTCAGGGTGACATACCATGTATGTGAGCAGAGGTCTCAGAGTGACATACCATGTATGTGGGCAGAGGTCTCAGGATGACATACCATGTACGTGGGTAGAGGTCTCAGGGTGACATACCATGTATGTGAGCAGAGGTCTCAGAGTGACATACCATGTATGTGGGCAGAGGTCTCAGGATGACATACCATGTACGTGGGTAGAGGTCTCAGGGTGACATACCATGTATGTGAGCAGAGGTCTCAGAGTGACATACCATGTATGTGGGCAGAGGTCTCAGGATGACATACCATGTACGTGGGTAGAGGTCTCAGGGTGACATACCATGTATGTGAGCAGAGGTCTCAGAGTGACATACCATGTATGTGGGCAGAGGTCTCAGGATGACATACCATGTACGTGGGTAGAGGTCTCAGGGTGACATACCATGTATGTGAGCAGAGGTCTCAGAGTGACATACCATGTATGTGGGCAGAGGTCTCAGGATGACATACCATGTACGTGGGTAGAGGTCTCAGGGTGACATACCATGTATGTGAGCAGAGGTCTCAGAGTGACATACCATGTATGTGGGCAGAGGTCTCAGGATGACATACCATGTACGTGGGTAGAGGTCTCAGGGTGACATACCATGTATGTGAGCAGAGGTCTCAGAGTGACATACCATGTATGTGGGCAGAGGTCTCAGGATGACATACCATGTACGTGGGTAGAGGTCTCAGGGTGACATACCATGTATGTGAGCAGAGGTCTCAGAGTGACATACCATGTATGTGGGCAGAGGTCTCAGGATGACATACCATGTACGTGGGTAGAGGTCTCAGGGTGACATACCATGTATGTGAGCAGAGGTCTCAGAGTGACATACCATGTATGTGGGCAGAGGTCTCAGGATGACATACCATGTACGTGGGTAGAGGTCTCAGGGTGACATACCATGTATGTGAGCAGAGGTCTCAGAGTGACATACCATGTATGTGGGCAGAGGTCTCAGGATGACATACCATGTACGTGGGTAGAGGTCTCAGGGTGACATACCATGTATGTGAGCAGAGGTCTCAGAGTGACATACCATGTATGTGGGCAGAGGTCTCAGGATGACATACCATGTACGTGGGTAGAGGTCTCAGGGTGACATACCATGTATGTGAGCAGAGGTCTCAGAGTGACATACCATGTATGTGGGCAGAGGTCTCAGGATGACATACCATGTACGTGGGTAGAGGTCTCAGGGTGACATACCATGTATGTGAGCAGAGGTCTCAGAGTGACATACCATGTATGTGGGCAGAGGTCTCAGGATGACATACCATGTACGTGGGTAGAGGTCTCAGGGTGACATACCATGTATGTGAGCAGAGGTCTCAGAGTGACATACCATGTATGTGGGCAGAGGTCTCAGGATGACATACCATGTACGTGGGTAGAGGTCTCAGGGTGACATACCATGTATGTGAGCAGAGGTCTCAGAGTGACATACCATGTATGTGGGCAGAGGTCTCAGGATGACATACCATGTACGTGGGTAGAGGTCTCAGGGTGACATACCATGTATGTGAGCAGAGGTCTCAGAGTGACATACCATGTATGTGGGCAGAGGTCTCAGGATGACATACCATGTACGTGGGTAGAGGTCTCAGGGTGACATACCATGTATGTGAGCAGAGGTCTCAGAGTGACATACCATGTATGTGGGCAGAGGTCTCAGGATGACATACCATGTACGTGGGTAGAGGTCTCAGGGTGACATACCATGTATGTGAGCAGAGGTCTCAGAGTGACATACCATGTATGTGGGCAGAGGTCTCAGGGTGACATACCATGTACGTGGGCAGAGGTCTCAGGGTGACATACCATGTACGTGGGCAGAGGTCTCAGGGTGACATACCATGTACGTGGGCAGAGGTCTCAGGGTGACATACCATGTACGTGGGCAGAGGTCTCAGGGTGACATACCATGTACGTGGGCAGAGGTCTCAGGGTGACATACCATGTACGTGGGCAGAGGTCTCAGGGTGACATACCATGTACGTGGGCAGAGGTCTCAGGGTGACATACCATGTACGTGGGCAGAGGTCTCAGGGTGACATACCATGTACGTGGGCAGAGGTCTCAGGGTGACATACCATGTACGTGGGCAGAGGTCTCAGGGTGACATACCATGTACGTGGGCAGAGGTCTCAGGGTGACATACCATGTACGTGGGCAGAGGTCTCAGGGTGACATACCATGTACGTGGGCAGAGGTCTCAGGGTGACATACCATGTACGTGGGCAGAGGTCTCAGGGTGACATACCATGTACGTGGGCAGAGGTCTCAGGGTGACATACCATGTATGTGGGCAGAGGTCTCAGGGTGACATACCATGTATGTGGGCAGAGGTCTCAGGGTGACATACCATGTACGTGGGCAGAGGTCTCAGGGTGACATACCATGTACGTGGGCAGAGGTCTCAGGGTGACATACCATGTATGTGGGCAGAGGTCTCAGGGTGACATACCATGTACGTGGGCAGAGGTCTGAGGGTGACATACCATGTATGTGGGCAGAGGTCTCAGGGTGACATACCATGTACGTGGGCAGAGGTCTGAGGGTGACATACCATGTACGTGGGCAGAGGTCTCAGGGTGACATACCATGTACGTGGGCAGAGGTCTCAGGGTGACATACCATGTATGTGGGCAGAGGTCTCAGGGTGACATACCATGTACGTGGGCAGAGGACTGAAGGTGACATACCATGTATGTGGGCAGAGGTCTCAGGGTGACATACCATGTACGTGGGCAGAGGACTGAGGGTGACATACCATGTACGTGGGCAGAGGTCTCAGGGTGACATACCATGTATGTGGGCAGAGGTCTCAGGGTGACATACCATGTATGTGGGCAGAGGTCTGAGGGTGACATACCATGTTCGTGGGCAGAGGTCTGAGGGTGACATACCATGTACGTGGGCAGAGGTCTGAGGGTGACATACCATGTACGTGGGCAGAGGTCTCAGGGTGACATACCATGTACGTGGGCAGAGGTCTCAGGGTGACATACCATGTACGTGGGCAGAGGTCTCAGGGTGACATACCATGTACGTGGGCAGAGGTCTCAGGGTGACATACCATGTACGTGGGCAGAGGTCTCAGGGTGACATACCATGTACGTGGGCAGAGGTCTGAGGGTGACATACCATGTACGTGGGCAGAGGTTTCAGGGTGCCGTCTTCAGGCTGGCTGGTGAAGGGCCCCTCCAGCTCGCCACGTTTCAGCATGTGGAGGAGAAGTTTGGCATACAGGTTCCTGTTCTTCCTGCCGGCAATCCCTGTTCCTGCCCCGGAGGGGTCACACAGCTTCTTGATCCACAGGGCACATCGCTGGCGTTCTGAACAACACATAGAACCACGGTTACTCTACACCTGAGCTTCAGGAGTCTACACCAAATGTATTCCATCAAACATACTGGAAAGAACAATTGGACCCATTTCAGGGGCCACGCCGCACCCCCTTGGTCAGCACTTATACAGTTCTATACTGGCTGCTTTGATTTTGGTTTCAATCTGTTGGTATAAGTTCCAGAGAAGCTGATGTTTCTTCTGCCTCTCCAGAACTTATAACTGGACAGTGACTCTACATCAGAACCACCGACCCAATACAATGCATGGCAGAGAGTACACGGCACTGGTACTATGTGATCACATTACTAAAAGTACATTGACATTCTATGACACCAGAAGAGCTCCAATCCATCTGTCCATGTGTCATCCCAGTTCTGTCTCTCCTCTCTCTCTCCTGGCTGTCTCTCCTCTCTCTCTCTCTCCTGGCTGTCTCTTCTCTCTCTCATGGCTGTCTCTCCTCTCTCTCCTGGCTGTCTCTCCTCTCTCTCCCCTGGCTGTCTCTCCTCTCTCTCTCTGCTCTCTCTCCCGTGGCTGTCTCTACTCTCTCTCCTGGCTGTCTCTCCTCTCTCTCCTGGCTGTCTCTCTTCTCTCTCTCCTGGCTGTCTCTATTCTCTCTCTCCTGGCTGTCTCTATTCTCTCTCTCCTGGCTGTCTCTCTTCTCTCTCTCCTGGCTGTCTCTCTTCTCTCTCTCCTGGCTGTCTCTCTTCTCTCTCTCCTGGCTGTCTCTCTTCTCTCTCTCCTGGCTGTCTCTCTTCTCTCTCTCCTGGCTGTCTCTCTTCTCTCTCTCCTGGCTGTCTCTCTTCTCTCTCTCCTGGCTGTCTCTCTTCTCTCTCTCCTGGCTGTCTCTCTTCTCTCTCTCCTGGCTGTCTCTCTTCTCTCTCTCCTGGCTGTCTCTCTTCTCTCTCTCCTGGCTGTCTCTCTTCTCTCTCTCCTGGCTGTCTCTCTTCTCTCTCTCCTGGCTGTCTCTCTTCTCTCTCTCCTGGCTGTCTCTCTTCTCTCTCTCCTGGCTGTCTCTCTTCTCTCTCTCCTGGCTGTCTCTCTTCTCTCTCTCCTGGCTGTCTCTCTTCTCTCTCTCCTGGCTGTCTCTCTTCTCTCTCTCCTGGCTGTCTCTCTTCTCTCTCTCCTGGCTGTCTCTCTTCTCTCTCTCCTGGCTGTCTCTCTTCTCTCTCTCCTGGCTGTCTCTCTTCTCTCTCTCCTGGCTGTCTCTCTTCTCTCTCTCCTGGCTGTCTCTCTTCTCTCTCTCCTGGCTGTCTCTCTTCTCTCTCTCCTGGCTGTCTCTCTTCTCTCTCTCCTGGCTGTCTCTCTTCTCTCTCTCCTGGCTGTCTCTCTTCTCTCTCTCCTGGCTGTCTCTCTTCTCTCTCTCCTGGCTGTCTCTCTTCTCTCTCTCCTGGCTGTCTCTCTTCTCTCTCTCCTGGCTGTCTCTCTTCTCTCTCTCCTGGCTGTCTCTCTTCTCTCTCTCCTGGCTGTCTCTCTTCTCTCTCTCCTGGCTGTCTCTCCTCACTCTCTCTCTCCTGGCTGTCTCTCCTCTCTCTCTCTCTCCTGGCTGTCTCTCCTCTCTCCTGGCTGTCTCTCCTCTCTCTCTCTCCAATCCATCTGTCCATGTGTCACAGTCCTGGACGTCCCGCACTGATGTCCCCACAAGGCCTCAGCTCAGCATCTGGCACACAGGCCACTCTATATATCCCACAATGAGCACACATGGAAGAGGAAGGCCCCTCCTTCACTGAGACTGTTACATGCAGATTGGATAGAATGGGGTCTACATGTTATGTCAGCAGATGGTTGGAGACTAACGACGTTACAGGCGGAGCTATACTACGGGGGACATGATATCCTTTACTGAGGCAATCCTGCCACCTGCAGCCAGACTCATCTCATGGCAGGAACGTGGAAACAGATCTACAAGGCCAGTCAGAAGAAACAGTCTCATCTACACAAGAGGTATTTCTGGGTTCTGACTTCCCGGCAATATTTTGTGCCACTGACCCCCCAACCCCCCAACCCACAACCCACAAGGGCAGAATTAAGTTCCACTCATTAAAATGGGAAAATGGGGGGTCCCATCTGTATGTTATAAGGGGGGGTGACCTGGGAATACTATTTTCCATAGATATGCAGAAGGTGATCCAGCTCATACAAAGTTATTCTTCGGAAATTCTTTCTCCACAAAGCATTGAAGCTGAGCTCCAGGAAGACATCCGAATACATATATGACATGTATATATTTCACTCATATATATCGAGTGAAAGTGAAATGCTGGTAACATGTCAAAGCTGAGAACACAAAATCAGTGCAGAGTCAGGTGACATCAATCCCCCGAGCAGTGACGGATATCCTTACCCAGCCTGCGGGGGCGCTTTAACACGTATGGCTTCATATCCACCAGGAAGTGGTCAAATTCTGCATCCAGGCTCTCCCAGGCATCTTCCTGATTGGTCATTGTACCCTGGAAGGCAGCACACATATGACAGTCAGTCATGTGACCATGACACTGAAATCCAACACTCCGTACACTGACCGCCCTGTGTATATACAGTATATATAACACTCCGTACGCTGACCGCCCTGTGTATATACAGTATATATAACACTCCGTACGCTGACCGCCCTGTGTATATACAGTATATATAACACTCCGTACGCTGACCGCCCTGTGTATATACAGTATATATAACACTCCGTACGCTGACCGCCCTGTGTATATACAGTATATATAACACTCCGTACGCTGACCGCCCTGTGTATATACAGTATATATAACACTCCGTACGCTGACCGCCCTGTGTATATACAGTATATATAACACTCCGTACGCTGACCGCCCTGTGTATATACAGTATATATAACACTCCGTACGCTGACCGCCCTGTGTATATACAGTATATATAACACTCCGTACGCTGACCGCCCTGTGTATATACAGTATATATAACACTCCGTACGCTGACCGCCCTGTGTATATACAGTATATATAACACTCCGTACGCTGACCGCCCTGTGTATATACAGTATATATAACACTCCGTACGCTGACCGCCCTGTGTATATACAGTATATATAACACTCCGTACGCTGACCGCCCTGTGTATATACAGTATATATAACACTCCGTACGCTGACCGCCCTGTGTATATACAGTATATATAACACTCCGTACGCTGACCGCCCTGTGTATATACAGTATATATAACACTCCGTACGCTGACCGCCCTGTGTATATACAGTATATATAACACTCCGTACGCTGACCGCCCTGTGTATATACAGTATATATAACACTCCGTACGCTGACCGCCCTGTGTATATACAGTATATATAACACTCCGTACGCTGACCGCCCTGTGTATATACAGTATATATAACACTCCGTACGCTGACCGCCCTGTGTATATACAGTATATATAACACTCCGTACGCTGACCGCCCTGTGTATATACAGTATATATAACACTCCGTACGCTGACCGCCCTGTGTATATACAGTATATATAACACTCCGTACGCTGACCGCCCTGTGTATATACAGTATATATAACACTCCGTACGCTGACCGCCCTGTGTATATACAGTATATATAACACTCCGTACGCTGACCGCCCTGTGTATATACAGTATATATAACACTCCGTACGCTGACCGCCCTGTGTATATACAGTATATATAACACTCCGTACGCTGACCGCCCTGTGTATATACAGTATATATAACACTCCGTACGCTGACCGCCCTGTGTATATACAGTATATATAACACTCCGTACGCTGACCGCCCTGTGTATATACAGTATATATAACACTCCGTACGCTGACCGCCCTGTGTATATACAGTATATATAACACTCCGTACGCTGACCGCCCTGTGTATATACAGTATATATAACACTCCGTACGCTGACCGCCCTGTGTATATACAGTATATATAACACTCCGTACGCTGACCGCCCTGTGTATATACAGTATATATAACACTCCGTACGCTGACCGCCCTGTGTATATACAGTATATATAACACTCCGTACGCTGACCGCCCTGTGTATATACAGTATATATAACACTCCGTACGCTGACCGCCCTGTGTATATACAGTATATATAACACTCCGTACGCTGACCGCCCTGTGTATATACAGTATATATAACACTCCGTACGCTGACCGCCCTGTGTATATACAGTATATATAACACTCCGTACGCTGACCGCCCTGTGTATATACAGTATATATAACACTCCGTACGCTGACCGCCCTGTGTATATACAGTATATATAACACTCCGTACGCTGACCGCCCTGTGTATATACAGTATATATAACACTCCGTACGCTGACCGCCCTGTGTATATACAGTATATATAACACTCCGTACGCTGACCGCCCTGTGTATATACAGTATATATAACACTCCGTACACTGACCGCCCTGTGTATAAACAGTATATATAACACTCTGTACACTGACCGCCCTATGTATATACAGTATATATAACACTCCGTACACTGACCGCCCTGTGTATATACAGTATATATAACACTCCGTACACTGACCGCCCTGTGTATATACAGTATATATATAACACTCCGTACACTGACAAAAGTCTACCAAGAGTCATAGGGAGTTGTACGATGAGAAGGAGCATCCCCGGGGGTTGTATGGAGAGAACAATTTGGTCCTACAGAGAAAATCAGCATCCCTGGGGTCCTACAGAGAAGTATCCTCAGGGGTATACCAAGATGAGTAGTGTGCTTGGGGGTCATACAATGCATCCTCGGGGGTATACTAAGAAGAGAGGCATCACTGGGGGTTGTACACAGAGAAGGAACATCCTAGGAGGTTGTATGGAGAGGAGGAGAATCCTCAGGGAATGTACGGCGAAGAGGTGGAATGTCCTCAGGGTTCATGTGGGAAAATGGGGTGCACAGAGATATAGATCATCCTCACAGATGGTATGGAGAAGAGTAGAATCCTAGGGGGTCATATGAAGAAGAGGAGTGTCCTCAGGGGTCATACAGAGAAGAGGAGTGTCCTCAGGGGCAATGCAGAGAAGAGGAGTGTCCTCAGGGGCAATGCAGAGAAGAGGAGTGTCCTCACGGGCAATGCAGAGAAGAGGAGTGTCCTCAGGGGCAATACAGAGAAGAGGAGTGTCCTCAGGGGTCATACAGAGAAGAGGAGTGTCCTCAGGGGTCATACGGAGAAGAGGAGTGTCCTCAGGGGTCATACGGAGAAGAGGAGTGTCCTCAGGGGTAATGCAGAGAAGAGGAGTGTCCTCAGGGGCAATGCAGAGAAGAGGAGTGTCCTCATGGGCAATACAGAGAAGAGGAGTGTCCTCATGGGTCATATGAAGAAGAGGAGTGTCCTCAGGGGCAATGCAGAGAAGAGGAGTGTCCTCAGGGGCAATGCAGAGAAGAGGAGTGTCCTCAGGGACAATGCAGAGAAGAGGAGTGTCCTCAGGGGCAATACAGAGAAGAGGAGTGTCCTCAGGGGCAATGCAGAGAAGAGGAGTGTCCTCAGGGGCAATGCAGAGAAGAGGAGTGTCCTCAGGGG